AATACTACTACAAAGAACTTCTTATAATAAACAGTCCCGGTCATGTTGTAGCGTGTTCGCTAGTCGGGCTAACCAGCTATGTAGTGCCGTGCTTCGATAATAGTTCACTTCGATAACCGTTACTATACCAATCTTAACGGTTTATAAAATCAGAAGGCAAAGGGAAGCGGCAACTACATTTTTATTGCTAAATGATGCAGACTAGAAAGTTGTAAGCACATGAGCAAATGTAAGCGAGCGAAGCAAAGATGATGTATAGTGGAGATGGCTGGGAAGCCAACTCGATTTAAGCAAGCGTTAATCAACATTTATAGTTGGACAAAAATGAATGACAGACATGTGATAGGTAGGATAAGAAGGGTACATACACATGCGCTCATATAACAAGGTAGTCAAGGTTAGTAAGCGAATAATTAACAAGATCAAAATATGACTCATAATAGATAGGCGAATTGGCTTGGCCAGCAACTAGAATAAAGTATATGGGCTTAACATATACACCGATACTACAATGTCTCCACACTTTGTTGTATTCCGTCCTATATTTTTTATCGTAAAGAATACTACACGAAGACAAGCGTCAGAGAAACTACAGTCTTACCTACCTATTGATGATTCTTAAATAAAAGTGGCTCCGTAAAATCTGTACATATTGTTTGCTTCGTCAGGGTAGTGAAATTGTTGTTATTATGGAAATTGTGAGTGTTATTTACCTTTAATCGACTGCAATGTCTAAGAATATGATTGATTATACAGTTTATATTTCGCACTCGATCGGGATTACCTGTAAGAGTTCATCCTTTTATGTATGCCAGTAGAATATAACGGCAAGGACACCGGCATATCACAATTTACCCACAATCCGAATTACATCTGCTCGCAATACTTTTTGCTTCCAGGCAAACAGAATAGGACCCCCTCGACCAAAGTTATCCCCGAAATTTAACCAAACCGGAAAAATTTATCCAAAAATAGGGAGATTGGGAAGTTACGAAGCAACAATTGGTTTAACGTGTGCAATACAGGACAAAGAGAGCTAAATCAATGTTCTTCATAACGATTTTGTGGTTTTGCTGCAGCAAAAGACCATTTAAATATGAGGACACCTGATATTTGTGCAACTCAACGAACACCCACCAAACCCACAGCAAATGAAATACGGAATGACCGCCTCTTGTCATGCTGTTCGAGGTCGTTGAAACGAAACGGCGAGCGGCTTTGAAAGGATCTAACCTTTTTGCCGTGCCTTTAATAAGGAAAGCGATGGGGAACAGTCGGCAATAACACAAGCCCATGACTAAGATGGCTTAAGAGTTGGAACTAGAAATAGATAGTGTAAAGTCTTAACCCTGTTACAGAGGTTTCCTTTGACTTCAAGCGCCATCTGTGACCATTAAATTGGCTTTTTGCCAGTGAGTAGACTTTGTAAGAAATAATCTCAGAAGAACTAATCAGTCTTTCTGGTCTGTTTTTCTTTTTTAACTCAACCAGAACATGTGAATAAGAATACAGAAGGATTGAGTCTTACCTTATGGTTTGTAATTTATTTCAAAATGGGGATTTTATAGAAATATCAAGCACAACTGTCTGTGATAACCCACAGGCTTACAAAAATTCACGACAGAAGACACCTCGTACAAAAAGTTAAACGATAAAATTGTTAAATAGGCGAAAGTAATATTTACAACCTACTAGCTAATTACGGACCGATGTGATTAGGACGTTTAGTATGATACTTTCTTTGGGTCCTTCTGGTAATGCATGTCATAAATCAGAGGATGGCACTAAGTCTAAAAAGAAACCTGGAAAAACAGTAATATATGGAGACGGTCAATCACTTTTCTTCTCGTACCAGGAAAATATGTAAATACCGGTGAGTTTGATACTTAATGTTATAAACAATAAGAAAGCTGAAGTATCACTTATTTTATGCATCATTTCACGTCTAGAAATGGATTTGTGTTGGAAAGTTCCAAAATACGGCGAGACTATAATTTATGGACGAACCAATCAGATTTACGACAACAGGTCTTGAATTTTGGCGCGAAAGTATCTCTTTCATTTGGCTAAATAGAATTTTGTCATTATAGCTTATGTCAGTTCGTGATGAAATACCTATATCTAATTCCCAACCCTAATTATCAACTGTAAATAATAATCCTTATTCCTCATACTGGTTTATAACCCTCAATTAGCCGTAGTATGTAGGTGGACATTCTCAAGATCTTTTTAACGTCACTCAAAGGTCGTCCATAAATCATAGTCTCGCTAAATTCTATCCAGTTAGTATTAAGCAGTTTTTTGGAGATATCTAGGAGAACGACGAATTACCTGTCACGCTTTTAATTGAATAATTGCCTTAATGATATGTTCAATGTGCTTTTGGAACTTTTTAGGCAGTCAAGATTAGGTTAAGCAGCATAAGTACGCACGTTTTTCTGTATATACCTTAACCTTAGAGTAAAACTTGTCTGCGCTTCTCACCTTTTTTTGTCATATCCAAGGTGCCATATAGGTTTCGTCTTGGGTTATTAGAAGCGTCTACGAAATCGGTTTGAGAGTTCAATTTACAGACTTATCAATATGGTAATTAGAATCAATGAAAACTGTGGACATTAATATTTATCTATTTTAGTATAGCTACTGTAATTAAATGTTCAATCCTTTCATCCCACGATAACGCAAAAATATTGATAGTACTTTCTTAGTCTTAACAATATTTTAAATTATATCTGGAATAGAGGTTGAAAGCCTTGAGGAAAGAAATTTTATTTGAATAGAATGAAGAAGTGGCAAATTATGGAAGTTTGCTTAGTTTTTATTTAATATCATTTAGCTTTTGTGACTTACTCTCTGAATCTTATACTTTCGTCTGATCTAGAAATTTGTCATATTTTCTTCGATTCCAAATTAATTGCATTTTAAACGAAGCTCTTGTGTCCTATCTTTGTACGTTAAAGGCCTTATTTTGACGTACATCGTATTTCCTCATTTGTTATGAGTTGTAATCTAGATATTTATACATTTGTTTGTGTACACTCTTGATCAAATATGCAAGCTTTTACTACATCTATCTTCTCTTCACTCATCAACCAATCAGTTCACGCGCATCAGATTAAAATTCAGATAATAGAACAGTTTCTCTGCTCTCTTCTGAAGATCAATTTATAATTATTCAATTTCATTTATACCCGTCAGGTCTCCTTTGATATTATTTTGTCTGAATTATGTGCGGTCTCTAAAAGCCTGTTTGAAGAGTTTTAAATGTTGGTGGTCATCGAGAAAAAGACATGTAAAATCAAGGCGGAAATGAAACGAACGGTAGAGTGAGACTTGGTGAGTGGAATAGCACAGTATACAGGGCAATTAGCTCAGGATTCTCATCTATATTTCACGAAACACTCATTTTAAACACATATTTCTGCTTAGTTTCTACCTCTCCTTTGAATGTTTTATTTGCACTGCACTTATCGGGATACACATTTTTAAACTAGTCAATATGCCTTTTTTTCTCACCACTCTTATTTTGGATATTTTACAAAGCACAAACATCCACATATAACTGGTGAAGAAAATTGGAAGTGACTACATTGGTTTATGATGCAGGTGTAGTAGATCTGTTCAATTTAAGAGGTCCTTCAATTTTGGTGCAAAATCAAAAGCTGCTCTGGTTCTCAGTGTTTCATTCAAGAATATCAGTTAGTAGTATATACTGCTTTAAACGTACATAAAGAATAGTAGTGACAGAAATATTGCACGTAACCGACATACGTACTGGCTTAAGTTAGCATTTGTGTTTGTCAATGGAGCTAGGACATTGGTACTGTTGAACCTTGTGCAGTTCTACTAAATACCGCTTGTTCAACTTTTACAGCTTCAGTGCGGCTGTAAAATACCGGATTGGATGTAGTCTCGGAAAAATAACACGTTTAGTGACCACTCATTACTTCTTTACTCCATGGACTTCATAACAATGTAGTTATTGGTGACAATATTTGTAGTTCTAGACTATATAATACATCTTTGAACTTGGTTGTCAATTGTTGTTCTTCAATAAATCATTGGGTCTTGTCCAGCTGTTCGCAATGTCTCTGTAACAAGTGGTTCTCATAGTATTATATCTTGTATTTCTGGGGATTGCTTAGAGACCAGTCTACAGTATTTAACAGACATTCTTCTTAATACATTATGAATCCAAGTGGCTTTAAATCTGGTATATAATTTAACTCCACTTAATCGCGTATTTTACCTGCAAATATTTCATCACTGAGGCAACCTAATGATATTTAACAAGTATCATTGGGATTAATTGATAACTCATATGACTAACTTCTATCCATTTTGGAATTTTTCCAGTTACGAGCTCGGGTAATAGAAAACATCATGTCTGGTGTTACCAAGACTATCAACTTAACGTGCCCATATTAACTGAAATGGGCTTTGGGATTGAAAGATTTTCCAAATGAAATAGGATAACCTGGAATTTATATTTTATTGTTTTTGAGTAACAATGACAAGAAATATTAAAATAGGAACTATCATACCATTTGCTTACTCTGCAAAGTATTTTATTGGATACAAGTTTGACTTCGCAATTGAATGTTAATCGCTTAACACAAGCTTACAATCTATCACATGGAGCCATTTTTAAAAATCTAATTGGTCTTTTGAGAATATTCCACATTATAACAGTTAGTAAATTTTATTATTCATTGTAGCTTTGACACTTCATCTGCTTTTATATCTAAATTATCCCAAACTAATTTCAACTACATTCTTATTTTCAAGAGTTGTAGTATCTTATTACAAACATTTTAAACTAAGAAAAGTATAATTCTTAGTTGAAATCATGAGTCAATTGAAGCTAGACCATAATGGAAAATCTGGAAGCACTGGACGGTCGTTTCGTCCTATTATGGGACTCCTCGGCAGTGCGTATTCACGATAATTAACAATAACAGAAACAGATAATCATGAAAGGAGGAATAAAAAGAAATTAGTCCATAATTAAAATTCTATTTATAAAATATACATTTATTTTCTTATATATAATTTAATTACCTAAATTCATAAACAAATAGCTTTTCAATTATTATTAAATAAGTTTTATAATAATAATAATTATGATAATTTATCAAAACGTTCTTTGGTTTTTGCACGAATATATGCTTGTGTTAATTCTTTTGGTGTTGAATCAATCGATATTGTGTTTTTTGATGAATTACTTGAACCAAGACCAGCTTGTGGATTAATACGTAAATTAACAGTTATCTTGAATATTGACATATAATAGTAGAGTTGAATAACGCCATCATGGTAGTGTAGAACAAGTTGTGGAGGAAAAATATTTTTTTTAAAAAATAAAGGAAGAACATTTTATTATTTAAATATTTTAGATAAACAAGAAACATAAATGTTACGAAACAGAGAATAAATTCAACTGAATTAAAAAGGGTAGTTATTTGATGTAATACTTTAACTAAGTAAAGGTTTATGTACTTAACTTTACTGCACACTTTATTTATGTGTAGACTGATATGACACTATTTAATTGTCTAGACTATATTACGTTTTAATTCACTTAGTATTGCTTGTTTGAATCTTCCCATTGATGCTTAGGACTGCAACTGGTCAGTCTCTTATTGGCATATGTGCATACTGTGCGTATTGCCTCGATATTGCCTTAATTCACAAGCATTATAAGCAAAGATGGATAGCTGCTAGCAGTGGAATCCAGGACGCACGTTTCATCCTATTTGCACAAGCAAGTGGCTATCAGGAATCAATAGCTGAGTGAATAACGTGATGGTGTTTGAAGCGAAAAGTACTGGGTTCGAGTTTCAGAGTGAACATCAACTCTGAGATGCAGGTACATCCAGCTGATGAGTCCGAAATAGGACGAAACGCGCGTCCTGGATTCCACTGCTAGCCACCATCCATCTTTGCTTATATTACGTTGTGATGGGGAATGAATTTGTTATTATAACTTAATGGTACAAAACATCAAACGCTTTAACCATTAAGCTGTCTTGTTTATGCATATTTTATCCTACTTTTAAATTCGTGATAACTATTCAGGGATGATTGAAAATATTTAGATTTTACAATGATAATATCGACCTTATTTATTTTAGATAACATCAGTTTCTATTTAAAGTAGAGGTGTGATTTTCATCTTCACCGTAAACTAATCATGTCATCTGGAAAGTAATCTTATTTTGCATGAATCTTTTGTCGATCGATGATACCTTTAATTCACCAATAGTTTGAAATAATGGTCTGGTGGTAGAAGTACTAGGCTGGTTAACCTGTAAGTCGCAAGTTCGAATCTCATTTTACTTATTTGGGTTTAGGCAACCAGGTAATACCAGTAGGTCTCAGAAAAGTAGAGTGGCTCAAAACCGAGTAGTATACAAACCACTAATTTATGGGTTATACTTCAACAACATATTCAGATAATTAGCCAATGGTTACGTCGTCTGAAATCTATTCGGTTGAAATTCTGTAGTCGGTAACTTCATTAAATTATCAGTTCAACCATGTCGACCATCTCAACATGTAATCAGTCAATTATTTTGCCATAACTCTGACTTTTTTTTCAAAATATGGTGTAATCTGTTTGATACTATGGAAAGCGTTTCTGAAGTGCGGTTGAGTCATTGTGTATACAAGTTTTTCATTAACATAAAGTGAATACAAAGGAAAATCAAACATTATCATCTCTAACTTCCTAAATGGCTTATCATGGATTACAGTACTGAAATATTCGTCTGCAACCCTAACGGACCTGATGAGTAGAATTTAATGAACTAATTCAGGAAACAGTGTTCAAGGAATTTGTATTTATGGTTAAATTTCGTTATCCATAAACATATTTTGTTTGTGACTGGTTATTTGTCAATTAATTACAATGTTTTCAGTTGGAAATCTCATCACTTTTTTTCTAGTCAAACTTGACTATTTCATAAATCGCAAAAAAGATGATGCACACTTAAATAATTTTGAATAAGTAGGAAATAGTTACTTATTATTCACTAATCTATAAAAAAATTTACCCGTTATTATTATTATTTTTAGGTTAAAGAAGAATTAAACAGTAAATATAGAATCAAACTAGTGAAAATTAATTACCGGTTCTGAGATTCCAGTTTTACTTTTACCCAATCCTTGACCAGGTGTCCAACCCATTTTAGCTAATAATTTAGCTCCTTTATTTTCATCTCCAATCGGTTTATGTACACTGGCTGGTGTTGGTCGAGTTATTAGTGGAGTTTTATTAATTTGATGTATTATTACACCTGGTGCAGGAGGTAATGGATAACCTGCTGCTTTTAAATTCGCTTCGATTGCACGTCGTTGTGCAGCACGATCCATATATTGTTTGTCTGTTTTTGCTTGAGGTCTTATTCGTGGAAACTATTGATTGAAATGTAAACAAAGTTATTTTTAGAAAAAAAAGCTTATTGTACTTGTTTTCGAAGATCATATACATAATGAACTGACTTTAGCTAAACAATTATTTCATACCATGGAGAAAGAAACAACTGTTTTGTTCTAGTATGAGACTTCTCAACGGTACGTAACTGAAACTACAAGAGAGATCGAACTGAAGATTCTAGGGTATACGGTAAGCATGACGCCTTGAGATAACTGAATTAATATCTTATGATTCACATTTTTAACTTGAATCAATTTGTTAAAACTCAATACAATTTACTTTTGTTAAATAGCTAATTAAAGCCAGTGTAAGTTAATATAAACTTATCAAAGTAAGAATATTTTATACAGATTTAGCAAAAAAGGCATTAAAGAAACTTGTCAGAACCCGAAGAGTTTTAATCTCGATAATGCCGTTTAATAGCAGATGACAATTATCCTAGCATATTTCCCGAAGAATGCACGTAGAAAAGTATTTGCAATAAGGGTGAATTAATGACAGTAATGTCTATAAAAGCTTTTATTATAAATAAATAGCTCAGTGGTAAGCTAATCAGTGTCAATGTAACGCTTACAGTATCCCAATTGTTTTGTAACAATAATGTCGAATATAACCAGTTGTTTAGTTTTGTGTAGCTCAGTCATTAGGATATCATTCAGTTCTAAACTATCCAGACAAAAACATCATTCATTCCGAACATAGATACTGAGATAAGATTGCCAGATACACCTATAGAAATGTCAGTTTATGAAAGGTACCCTAAAGATAACGTCATTCGCGTTTCACAAAAGTATACCATGAAACAAGTTGATTAATCAGAACGCTAAGTGAAGCTGAATAAAACCATTAAAATTATGCTCTACATTTTAAGCAACAAAAAAAGCAGACTTAAACGAAACTTAAAATGATCAATCATTTAATATCCTTTCTGTCAACTGGAGGTTTGCATGCCTCTATGCAACTTAGGCTTTCTAATCATTATTACTACATTTAAAGCTTTACAAATTCAAAGCCGAATTATTAAATAGTTTAATTTTTCAGTAAACAAAAAGAAATCACACATCAGAGATTCTCTAATATCCTTTGCATTTTCTACAGTTAGGACTAATACTAATCATTTATTAATTTAATATGACAATAACAAATAATATTATCCAAGAAAGTAAACTGCACCAACGTGGAAGATTCCATTCTTATTAGGATAATGGAAGAAAAAAGAAAGAAACAGGTAACTTACCTTTAAACCATATTTTTTTTTTATTTCATCTAATTTAGCTCTTCTTTCAGCATCTTTTGATGAAGGTGCTGTTTTATTTTCGATTCCGATGATTTGAAAGGAAAACAAAATAAAATTTGGTCATTTAAAAGAAAAAAAGGAAGTAATTAAAACTAGATTATTTAGCAATAACCAAAAGTATTACTTCCAAATTCACTTGTTGTTTACTCGCTTCTTCTTATTGTTATTTAGGACTGAAATTGATCAGTCTCTTGTTGACATATGTGCATCCTGTGCGGACTACCTCAATATTGTCTGAAGTCAAGGTTATCTCAATTATCAAACGAAAATAATAGCTGGCAAAAAACCAGAATGAACTAAACAGTTCTTTCATCATAGTTTGATTCTCCTCAGTAATATGGACGCAAATTTCAAACAAGATTGAACCCAGGACTTTAAGAGTCGCATAGTGAACATTATAGCATTGAACCAATCAGTTGTAACTGAATGGTTTACAATACCAACTTTAGTTTGTTGGTCAAATAGCCAGATTATTCAATGTAGTCAATTATATTTGCCTGTCTTATGATCAATATAATTAAATGCATAATTTCTCAGAAGAAATCATTTTCTAAATAATGCAACGCATAAAGAAAAAGTCTTTATAACTAATTACTTGGTATAGTTCCAGTTAGATTTTCTGTATTCTTATGATTTGCAGAATTGATTGTTTCACTGACGTCTACAATTGAAGTTAAAGCAGCCTTAATCTCGTCTGGATCACATTGTCCACATGTTTCATTACCATTATGTATGTGTACAAGTAAACGAGTTGATCCTAATCGTATTATATCACCATGACATAATATGGATGATTTACACTTAAATAAAAAAAAACAAGAAAAAGAAGGAAACATATATAAAAATAAAAGGTCAACTAGACTGGAAATGGGGGGGGGTAAGAGTAGACAAGGCTAATAATAATAATAATAATAATAATAATAATAATAATAATAATAATAATAATAATAATAATAATAATAATGTGGAAACAATTTGAAACCTAGTCACTCTAGATAATAAGCTAATATTACCAGGGTAGGTTTAAGGTGAGAACAAACTGTTTTTGAATACACAAAGGGAATTTGAATTTTCGTATGGCTAAGACTTCAATAAACCATAGTATACGCCCTTTTACACTTTTATACAACACCACAAAAGCTGAGTTAAGATCAATCTTATGATCTGTTTCGATTACATGTTTGGCAATAGAGGATGATGGATGTTTATCCTCTACTCTTATTGGGTCATTTGATTCTATTTGTTTCTGCACCCATTTTGATACATGTTTATACACCCTAATTTTGAGATGCTTGTGTTTGGAAAAAAAGCAATTTTAGCAACTGGAATTCAATAGTCCTGATGATTTTTCGCTCAGTGGTACTTCGATGGCCCCAGGTTCTTTTTATGAGAATGACTAAAAGCAAAATTATTTAAGACCGATGAGTTTTGTTTAAGAAAAAATAAACAATTCCTCACCAGACAATTTTCCAGTAATATTCAAATGTTGAATCTGTTTACAGAATAAATGAAGATCGTTTTATGTAAAATGTATGGTGTTTTGCATGTATGTATGTATGTGTTTATGTTATTCTTACTAAACTCCTGTAATCAGATTAAGTTTAAGGTTACAGTCGGAGTTATATTATTTATTAGAGTTATCCACTAACTAGATTTAAATATAAAAGATAAACTAGTCAAAATGTATAATAACCAAAAAATCAGGACCGTATTTTATTACCAATCAAATCCATCTCAATGCTGTTAGATATTACATTTGACGTAGAAATGAATACATAAGTTAATGAATGTGTTTTTATTTTTACTATTATTCTATGAATGAGTATCTGTGTCCAACTAATTGCAACTCATTAAATCTACTCACAATAACTGTATTTCGCCATACATGTAGGACATACGCTGTCGTTAATCTCTTTTTATTTAACACACTAAAAGAAGAATCCTTTTTGAAAAAAAAACCAGTTTCATTAAAATCAAACGTTTGTTACCTGCTTACACTAAATCTAATACCGTGACCAGTTATATATGAAGAATACGGAACAATACGAGGTACATGTCTGGTCTTCCTGATGTTCTATATAGTAAACTAAAGAATATATAATAAATTTATAGAGTCTCACAACTATAAGACATGTACATATTAATTCCATTAGAAAACTAGTTGTTAAGTGATGCAAAAGAGGATTAATGAATGAACAATCGAAATTTATTTTTAGCAGAATCTAGTTCTTAGTTTATATATGAATATGATAAAAATTTCTTCTGAACATTATCAGTAATCAATAAAAACTACCAAAAACAAAACTACAAATTAGATAAAACAATAAACTAACATTTTCTAAGGTAAATACATCTAGAATAAAAAATTTAAAATTATGAATTACCTTTGGCAACGTAATCCCATTGATAGTGGTGCTGAAATTAGAACCTCTATCCAATAGAGAATACTGACGAGTATCTGTATCGTAAATAACTTCACATTGCAACTATTATTAAAAAAAGAAGAAAAATAGTTTGTCAAAAAACTGCTGTCAAACACTACAGAATAATTCATCAAAGTACAGCATATCTAAGACAAGCAAAAAACTACAACATTATAAATTATAGATAAAATTGAAGATTATAAACAACCACCACATAAAAAGGAGAAAAGTGAAGAACGTGTCACGGAGATTACCAATCCTTCAAACCCTGATATATTGATAAAAACAAAAAGAAGAGAGGAAGGTCAATTAAGGATGAAGTGAAAAGCATCGAAACAACAGAAAAAGAATAAAATAGGGCAAAAAGACAAAAGAAATTAGTCACAAAAAAGCACTTTCGATAATATCCGCTGAACACAAAAATAAAGAATAAGAACACAGCAAATGTAAGAAGTATAAGCAAAATAAACGAAAAGAAAACCGAAAGTCAACGACATAGACAAACCCACATAAATACAAATAAAAACACAGAAATTCTCAGCGAAAACTAGGACTGAATGTTCATGTATAATTGGTGAAATAGTTCACAGGTGGGGTGTTAATAATCACCTACGTGCGAGGTATGTATATACATTTGAAACAAATATCATACGTGATTACATTTACCACAACCACAAACATCAACATCACTCAAGTCAGCTGTCCGTATTCAAAGCTTTGTCAAGTCATTCCAACTACATCGCATTACCACACACTTGTCTACTTATTCCCTTGTAGCTGCACAACCACTATTCAGAGGACTCAGGCACACCCACTAACAATGTTGAATTACGAACGACCCATATATACACATATACATTGTGACACAGGATAATTACCTTCGAATGTAATAGTCCCATCACAATCACAACGCAACCATGACCAAGCATATGAACTTATTTAGTCAACTAGATCAGTGTGAAGTTCGCTAGATGAAAATGTGCACGAAGAATGACAATGTCATGGTGTTTGTTAGTGCGAAGTAGCACCAGTGAACCAGTGTCTATCTGTTGGGTTGTGTAAGAGCTGGTGTTTATGGAATGAGTGAAATGGTGTAAGTATTTATTTGTGTATGATGTATTTGTGAAGGCAATTGTTGTCTGTTTATGGATGATTGATGGGTCGTTATATTGTGGGATGAAAGTAGAGTGTATGAATTGTGTGAAGGTGAGTTTATTCGAGCGATAGTTTGGTGCTTTCTGTTTCGTTTGAATATGTGTATGGTGTGGTAGATGTTGGTGTTAGATTTGCGTGTGGTTGGTAGTAGTTGAGTTGAGAGGGAACTATATTGTTATTCAAAGGGATGATCCGAAGACCTCCCCACTGACAAAAACTACGCGTCCGAGCGAGCCCGATTATGGATCGTCGCAGGCTTCAACACGCCGGAGTGCAATGGCGAGCCTCCACCTGGGGCCAGGGCATTCGTGATCACCCTGGTCCCGGCGCCAAGTAAGTTTAAGCACACTATTCAACAATAACATACCTATTATTCTTCAACACATTACACTCAATCATCAATTAGCAAACATTTCACACTAACAACATACACAACCATTCGCATCACCATATTACACTCTCACTACATGAACATTTATAACGACAAACCAATTCTCAACAAAAATCACCATCAAATAAAAAAATGCACACGCAAACATCAATTACAAGATTCAAAAACACCAACCACATATACTACTTCACATCAATTCAGTAGACAATATACAACATCATACGCAACTCGGGCAATTGCATAGCGCTAAATCAACAACATCTATCAGGTAGAACACACATCACACAAACACAGATTACCATCATTCCACAAATCTCAATGTACTAATACTATTCACAACACCTAATCCTCAAATCAAAACAAACACACCATACTGAAACAATGCATCTCCGGGAACAACACTCCTCTCAGTCAGCAACAAGTGACAGAGACCGCGACACACTGACCAACACTCTACGGGCAATATATATATATATATATATATATATATATATATATATATATATATATACATATATATTAGACACAAATATCATACGTGATTACATTTACCACAACCACAAACATCAACATCACTCAAGTCAGCTGTCCGTATTCAAAGCTTTGTCAAGTCATTCCAACTACATCGCATTACCACACACTTGTCTACTTATTCCCTTGTAGCTGCACAACCACTATTCAGAGGACTCAGGCACACCCACTAACAATGTTGAATTACGAACGACCCATATATACACATATACATTGTGACACAGGATAATTACCTTCGAATGTAATAGTCCCATCACAATCACAACGCAACCATGACCAAGCATATGAACTTATTTAGTCAACTAGATCAGTGTGAAGTTCGCTAGATGAAAATGTGCACGAAGAATGACAATGTCATGGTGTTTGTTAGTGCGAAGTAGCACCAGTGAACCAGTGTCTATCTGTTGGGTTGTGTAAGAGCTGGTGTTTATGGAATGAGTGAAATGGTGTAAGTATTTATTTGTGTATGATGTATTTGTGAAGGCAATTGTTGTCTGTTTATGGATGATTGATGGGTCGTTATATTGTGGGATGAAAGTAGAGTGTATGAATTGTGTGAAGGTGAGTTTATTCGAGCGATAGTTTGGTGCTTTCTGTTTCGTTTGAATATGTGTATGGTGTGGTAGATGTTGGTGTTAGATTTGCGTGTGGTTGGTAGTAGTTGAGTTGAGAGGGAACTATATTGTTATTCAAAGGGATGATCCGAAGACCTCCCCACTGACAAAAACTACGCGTCCGAGCGAGCCCGATTAGGGATCGTCGCAGGCTTCAACACGCCGGAGTGCAATGGCGAGCCTCCACCTGGGGCCAGGGCATTCGTGATCACCCTGGTCCCGGCGCCAAGTAAGTTTAAGCACACTATTCAACAATAACATACCTATTATTCTTCAACACATTACACTCAATCATCAATTAGCAAACATTTCACACTAACAACATACACAACCATTCGCATCACCATATTACACTCTCACTACATGAACATTTATAACGACAAACCAATTCTCAACAAAAATCACCATCAAATAAAAAAATGCACACGCAAACATCAATTACAAGATTCAAAAACACCAACCACATATACTACTTCACATCAATTCAGTAGACAATATACAACATCATACGCAACTCGGGCAATTGCATAGCGCTAAATCAACAACATCTATCAGGTAGAACACACATCACACAAACACAGATTACCATCATTCCACAAATCTCAATGTACTAATACTATTCACAACACCTAATCCTCAAATCAAAACAAACACACCATACTGAAACAATGCATCTCCGGGAACAACACTCCTCTCAGTCAGCAACAAGTGACAGAGACCGCGACACACTGACCAACACTCTACGGGCAATATATATATATATATATATATATATATACATATATATTAGACACAAATATCATACGTGATTACATTTACCACAACCACAAACATCAACATCACTCAAGTCAGCTGTCCGTATTCAAAGCTTTGTCAAGTCATTCCAACTACATCGCATTACCACACACTTGTCTACTTATTCCCTTGTAGCTGCACAACCACTATTCAGAGGACTCAGGCACACCCACTAACAATGTTGAATTACGAACGACCCATATATACACATATACATTGTGACACAGGATAATTACCTTCGAATGTAATAGTCCCATCACAATCACAACGCAACCATGACCAAGCATATGAACTTATTTAGTCAACTAGATCAGTGTGAAGTTCGCTAGATGAAAATGTGCACGAAGAATGACAATGTCATGGTGTTTGTTAGTGCGAAGTAGCACCAGTGAACCAGTGTCTATCTGTTGGGTTGTGTAAGAGCTGGTGTTTATGGAATGAGTGAAATGGTGTAAGTATTTATTTGTGTATGATGTATTTGTGAAGGCAATTGTTGTCTGTTTATGGATGATTGATGGGTCGTTATATTGTGGGATGAAAGTAGAGTGTATGAATAGTGTGAAGGTGAGTTTATTCGAGCGATAGTTTGGTGCTTTCTGTTTCGTTTGAATATGTGTATGGTGTGGTAGATGTTGGTGTTAGATTTGCGTGTGGTTGGTAGTAGTTGAGTTGAGAGGGAACTATATTGTTATTCAAAGGGATGATCCGAAGACCTCCCCACTGACAAAAACTACGCGTCCGAGCGAGCCCGATTATGGATCGTCGCAGGCTTCAACACGCCGGAGTGCAATGGCGAGCCTCCACCTGGGGCCAGGGCATTCGTGATCACCCTGGTCCCGGCGCCAAGTAAGTTTAAGCACACTATTCAACAATAACATACCTATTATTCTTCAACACATTACACTCAATCATCAATTAGCAAACATTTCACACTAACAACATACACAACCATTCGCATCACCATATTACACTCTCACTACATGAACATTTATAACGACAAACCAATTCTCAACAAAAATCACCATCAAATAAAAAAATGCACACGCAAACATCAATTACAAGATTCAAAAACACCAACCACATATACTACTTCACATCAATTCAGTAGACAATATACAACATCATACGCAACTCGGGCAATTGCATAGCGCTAAATCAACAACATCTATCAGGTAGAACACACATCACACAAACACAGATTACCATCATTCCACAAATCTCAATGCACTAATACTATTCACAACACCTAATCCTCAAATCAAAACAAACACACCATACTGAAACAATGCAACTCCGGGAACAACACTCCTCTCAGTCAGCAACAAGTGACAGAGACCGCGACACACTGAACAACACTCTACGGGCAATATATATATATATATATATACATATATATTAGACACAAATATCATACGTGATTACATTTACCACAACCACAAACATCAACATCACTCAAGTCAGCTGTCCGTATTCAAAGCTTTGTCAAGTCATTCCAACTACATCGCATTACCACACACTTGTCTACTTATTCCCTTGTAGCTGCACAACCACTATTCAGAGGACTCAGGCACACCCAC